AGATGATTATATAATATTTCTTTGACTCTTTAATCACGTTATTTGTTATTTAATTCACTAAAAATTGAACAACAATATGTTTCCATTATGAAAGTATTTAAAAAGCGTGTACATGTTAACTTGTTCTGAGACTTGCTGCTGTAATGTAATACGGTAGGGGCCTCAGGGCCTCATCAAATCTAAGTCTGGCCCTATAGACCATCTCAAGCATGCATAGTCTAGGACATACATTGGGGGCGCGCATGGTTATGTGTGTTTGTGTGTGTTTGTGTGTGTGTGTGTGGGGGGGGGGGGTGCAAGAAGGTTTCAAAGAAGAAAATGGGGGTGGGGGTGGTGGCATTTTGCAAAGTGAGTGCATTTTTACCTGTCTTGTTCTTCTTCGTTTTTACGTCCTTTTTTACCGCTTCGGGTGTCGAGGGAGATATAAGGTCCAGCTTCGTGCCCTTCTGGCTGCTTCGACCATCGTGGTGCTGATGTTATCTTTCAACATTGTTCTTGGTCTACCTCTTGCTCTGCGTTCCTCTCCCCTTTTGGTATATGTCTTGTATGCTATAGCTTCAGAAGGCATTCTCTCCAAGTGGGCAAACCATGTGATTTGCTGTCTTTGCATGTAATTTATAACAGGTTGTGTGCCGACTTTATCCTGTATGACCTCATTCCTGATTATATCTCTTCTGGTCATTCCCACAGTCTTTCTTAGACCCCTCATTTCCATGGTTACTAATTTTTGTTGTGTTCTGTCTGTGAGTGACCATGTCTGGCACTGACAGCATAGGATGGGAATGAATATGCTTTGTATGAGATGTATTCTCTGTGCTGATTGGGATTGCCTGCTGCTATAAGAGGGGAGCTAGCTGTCCCAATACTTGGCCTGCTTTACTGCATCAGATATCAATTTCTTTTACCCAATTTACCATTTTAATTGAATGTTGTTCTAAAATATTTAAACTCAGTGGCTGGTTTATTCTCTAATGCTATATTTAAATTCTAATTACTTCTTTCAATTGACACTATAGCTGGTTTTGTCGATGTTGATTCTCATATTCATTCATATTCTTTATTCATGGATATACCAGTAATAATAAAAAAAATACTAACATTTTGCTTTAGTTTAATTATTAATAAAAAAATTTTAAAGCATATTTATTAATTAAATAAAACGGCACAGATATTTGTTTTCATGAGCAGTTTGCACATATAAATTTCAAAACCTAATTAATATGATAAAACTTGCATTGTAATTATAGATTGAGAATGCATTATGACCAACACGTATACCCATATTTTTTAAATTGCTTGTTGCGGATATATTGACCTTTTTTAAATCACATACTGTGTTCTTATTACGAATGCCAGCCCAAATACACACTGGTTGACTTTTCATTCATGCTTGCTCAGCCCAGTCTATGTTACTGGGGTGTCCGGTTGTATTGTCTCCGGTGCTATCACTGGCGTTGAGGCGTGAACTGTATTACACGATGTGACCGCTTTTAGCGACGTCATATCTAGAACTGGCTCTAACACCAACCTCGCAGCCTCAGCCCACCAGCCAACCATTGCCCCTTGTACTCAATCCTTCAGTCAACCAGCCAACCATTGCCCCTTGTACTCATTCATTCAATCACCCAGCCAACTATTGCCCCTTGCACTCATTCATTCAATCACCCAGCCAACAATGCCCTTTGCACTCATTCATTCAATCACCCAGCCAACCATTGCGCCTTGTACTCATTCATTCAATCACCCAGCCAACCATTGCGCCTTGTACTCATTCCTTCAATCACCCAGCCAAATCATTGCCCCTTGCTCTCATTCCTTCAATCACCCAGCCAAATCATTGCCCCTTGCTCTCATTCCTTTTTTCACCCAGCTAACCAATGCTCTTACACTCATTTATTCAATCACCCAGCCAACCATTGCCCCATGCACTCATTCCTTCAATCACCCAGCCAAATCATTGCCCTTTGCACTCATTCATTCAATCACCCAGCTAACCATTGCCCCTTGCACTCATTCCTTCTGTCAACCAGCCAACTCATTTCGTCAAGCATCTAATAAAAAAAAAAAAAAAGTCAAAATTGATGAAAAGATAGAACTCCCAACAAAATAATTGGTGTACGAACAATTTTGATTTAATAGTCACAAACATGCACAAAAGTCAACCACTCTATACATAGTCAAACCAATCTGTTCTGGCATATTTTATTTCTAGAATTCACGTAATTATGCGACTATTCCTGTTTTGCAGTTGCAACAACGCCACTCGTAGCACTATGAGAAACTATCATTTCTCAAACGACTAGCTTCCGTATGGATAACCGACACTAGCGTACAGCACACACACACACACACACACACACACACACACACACACACACACACACACACGCACGCACGCACGCACGCACGCACGCACGCACGCACGCACGCACGCACGCACGCACGCACGCACGCACGCACGCACGCACGCACGCACGCACGCACGCACGCACGCACGCACGCACGCACACACACACACACACACACACACACACACACACACACTCACACACTCACACACTCACACACACACACACACACACACACACACACACACACACACACACACACACAGTATTGCTTGCAACCCAATGAGGTAAACATTGTATATAAAATCGCAAAACATTGAGACAAATAATTCTTCAACATCTAACAATATAATACCGCCATCTCCCCCTCTCTGTCTTCCCATTCGTATATCCTCACCCCTCCCCCGACCTTGTTTTCCCTCTTCAAAAACACCGCACATAGAAACAAGGTTTCTCTAAGCGACTTACGACTTCTTCTTCTTCTTCTTTTTGTTTTTTTCTTATTTTTTTTTCTTGTATGCATGGATGCATGTATAGGTGTGTATGTACGGAATATGTGTGTGTGTGTGTGTGTGTGTGTGTGTGTGTGTGTGTGTGTGTGTGCATGCATATCCATAAATGCATATGTGTGTGTTTTCTGTTTGTGCATTTATGTCTATGTATGTGCATGTGTTTTATGTTTGTGTATGTATGTATATGTGTGTGTGTATTGTTACGTATGTCTATATAAGTGTGCATGTATGAGGACGTAGGAGTATGTATACGTGTGTGTGAGTGTGTAAGACTGTGTACACATGATGTGTGTATGCATTATTCTATAATTTATATTTCTTTATTATATCCATAACATGTATTATTGATAGCAGGCATTCGTACTCTGAAAAAAAAAATGAGTACTTAAAAGGGCCGAAAGTCAGACAGGCCTGCGTGCCCAATTTGTAACTCTTTGAAAATAAAGTTTGTTGGTTGGTTGGTTGGTTGGTTCTTCTTATTGTATCCTACTACTTATGTCACAAGGTGTTGCAGAGAGGAGTAAGATGTAGTTTCCCGTCTTTGGCTTGTTGCAGTCGCACCATAGACTTCATAGAGGCCTCTGCACTCCACATCTGAAAAACCATAGCAGTGAGAACAAGAGAAGAACTCAGCATCATAGCCGACATGTTTTTTTCTTTTCTTTTTCTTTCAAAATTGTTTGTCAACGTTCTTTTTTATTCTCTTCTTCCATTTACTTCATCGATGTGCTGCATATAATGTGTATGTTTAATGACTGCAGACTTTTTAAAATCAATTTTTTGCGCACCACAATTAACTTTGTGTATTACGTCATGTTTCAAGCGCCATGTGACCGTTAGTTTAGAATATCACTGCTTATACCGGTGTTTTGGTAACTGAAATTAACTATAATGGTGTTTAACTATTTAAAAAAAAAAAAAAGTTTTTTTTGCTTGAACGTATGTTTCTTAAGGTTGTCAGGTATTCGCATTTTTTTTTTTATTTAACTGTTAATGATGTAATTTCTTTGACACTTAGGTTCTTCATACAAATATTTTTATCAATTTAACCAGAAGAATCGAATGGCAATAGAGTTGCAATAAGGAAAATATTACCCCCCCCCCCCCCACCAAAAAAAAGACACACTATAGCAGTATATGTTGCATCACCTGCAGAGACGGTGATTATAAAAACATTTTCAAACAATACAGTCATAAAAAATGTACCCTATATATATATATATATATGAGTGTGTGTGTGTGTGTGTGTGTGTTGGGGGGGGGGGGGGGGTTAACGAAGGACTGGTATTTGGTAGCTGTGGTAATAACTGGTTCAACCAGTCTGATATATCTGGCAATAATATTTCAATCTAGTTAATGATTAGACAAGTGTAAATAAAAACAGCTGGACAGTTATTGTAATGCTGGCTCAATCACCTGTGTTTTTATATATATATATATATATATATATATATATATATATATATATATATATATATATATATATATATATATATATATATATATATATATTATATATATGGGGCACTGCTATCACCGCTTAGTAGTTCTCCAAGGTTGTTTGGTTGCTTGGTTTAACCCCTCACGTAGGATAATGATTATGGCACTTATCCACAAATAGGAAACGTTGAAACAATTTTTGAAGTTCGTCAGACCTGAAAGGCTTTTTTTGCTTCTGCTCTTCCCCTTGACCTCATCCAAGTGTAGCGATAGGAAAACTGTGAGGATCTTCTGTCTTCTTTGTCAGGCTCTGTGTAAGTTAAGTCTTAATTTACTTTTTACTGTGCTCAGTATATGTCATTAGTATGGATTTTATGGGCCGCTGTTGTCAATACATCCTCGTCAGGTGACCAAACCATTTTGTCTGATGCAATCGGATGCATTTTATGACTGGTTAAAAGTTAATTAGCTGACAACGATGGTAATGCTGAAACATTTTGGGAATCTTTCACACGTGGGTGCTAACTCAACTCCGAGTGGGTTCTATCACAACTCCGAGTGGGTGCTATCACAACTCCTAGCGGGTGCTAACACAACTCTGAGTGGGTGCTAACACAACTCCGAGTGAGTGCTATTACAACCCCGAGTAGGTGCTATCACAACTCCGAGTGAGTGCTATCACAACCCTGAGTGGGTGCTATCACAACTCCGAGGTTCTGCAGGAACGGTTGGTTACACCGTCCATTTCCACAGAATCTTCTTCTGCGTTGCACAGCTTTGACGTGTCTTCTGTCTGGAACATGATGTTGTTTGTACTGTTGACGTAATTCAATGAGAATGGTGTCGGGGTGGTCAGATGCAGTGGTGATGCATTGTTGACCATTGAGAAGACTTCGGAAGCAGCTGAAGCTGATGGCAGTCGCAGTATGGGCTTACGTGGGCGTCTACTGGATAAAGGAGAACTTGTTTGAGATTGGGAGGAGTTGTCTGGCCCTGAAAAATATCTCTGACGTTGAATCAAAGGTGATTGGTGCACGGAACTTTGGGGTGTTTTGTGGTAAACATCAGCAGCAGTTTGATTGGTTGGAGGAGTGGGCGGAGATGAGCTGTTACACGATTGGCTGGTGTCAGATTCTAAACTTAGCTGTTCGTTCAAAGTTGAAAGAATTTTAACTCGCATTAAGGGCGAGTTTAAAGGAGACGACATGCGTACCTGCTGAACGCTTGTCAAGCCCGGAGAAACATTAGAGTTGCCAAAAAAGAATGTTTCTTCCATGTTGAAAAGTGATGCAGCTGAATCTAACGCTCCTACCTGAGCACAAGAAGCAGCTTCGTGCTTTGAATACCCTGTGATTGTTCTGATGTCCAAGATCAGCGGCGAATCAATATCATTTAGTGAAATGATGTTTTCACTACTTTCGTCTCGAGTATTTTCTGACACCGTCGTTGATGAAATTTCATCAGGACTTGTCGCGGTTGTCCTCGAAGTCGTCATTGAGGTTGAAGGTTGAATGGAAGCAAAATTAGCGGCGGACTGAGCTCGGGAAGGCGGGTCTTGTAGGTACAGCCCTCGATATGTTACACGTTTTTTGATTCGTTGACTCAAATCAGAGAGGTTTCTTTGAATGCCAGGTTTAATCCCATGTAACCGCCCACGAGGAGAACTTGCAAATCCAACTCCTGTAGGCGTTGCTGGTTCGCTGGTGAATTGCTTGTCAATTAAAATGGGGCGTGGCTTGAACTGGGACGACGGAGCAGGTGGTGACGGTGGTGGTGGATGGGATGGCCCCACTTGGATAGCACCTTTCTGAGAGATGTTGAGATGTTGTTGCAGCAGCTTCCTATCTTCTTTGTACATATCCAGGAGCATGTCCAGTTTGCTTTCAATGTCCTCCACCTGGTAGAAAAGACAAAACAAAACATCATTAACTCAGATCAGATTAATTGCCCCTATCTAGCGATCCCTGACTGAGCTGTGGCAAACGTGTTTGTCCTGTGTTGTGGGTTCGAATCCTTTTCGATGTGACGATATTGGGGAAAAAAACGTTATGGGTTACTAATGGACACAGCCTAAAATTAGTACTAGGACTTGTGGGAAGTAAATGCGGACTGTGTGGCACTGACCGCATAGCTCATCGAGTGCTGATTTGTCTCTATGGTGAGTTGTCACCAAATACATCTTAAATAGCCTCATAATATGAACAAGTATCAATTGCTTTACCTATGGTTGAAACAACGGTCCTGAAATGCAATGTTGTGATTGTAGATAACTTTTTTTAAAGCGTCTTGCTAGTCACACTCACATTCGCCCTGGGTTGTGAGTCCCATGCCTCTTTATAGCACAAATAACAAAAAAAGACGAATGCACCTTGCTATGGAAACAAGTGTGCTAAGATACACGAATTATCATCTGTCTTAATACCCTTGTTTCCATAGCGAGAAATAATTGTCACTTGAGGTGACAGGTTTGATTCCCGGCACGGGTACTATAGCTTTCGATTGGTATGTAGTCTATTGTGTCTTTCTATCTTTCTACTTCTGTATATGAGTGCCAAACAATAATTATATGTTTGTTCATATATATATATATATATATATATATATATATATATATGGCTGGCAGGCATTGCAATGGACACAGACCGCATGGTACAGAGGAAGACACGCGGTCGCACCACAGACTTCATAGAGGCATGTGGCCTTCTCTCTGACAACCATCGGCAGTAGAGAAAAAAAAAAGAAGTGAGGTTTCCAGGAATCAATAGCAGGAGTGAACCGGAGAAAGGTCTCCTTGGCATGGTTCATCCGCAACAGTCACATTGCCAGCACAGCGAAGCAGGCCCAAGCATCTGTGGTACAAACATCGAGAGAACGAACACGGTGGAATACTTTGACGTGACCTTTAACAGATGCTGTCATGCAAGTAGACATCACATGTAGACAATAGCATACTCGGAGCTAGGAAAAGCCTGGTAACACTGAAGGTGACAACAGCAGGCGATATTCAAAATCACCGACTTTTCTTTTTCTTTCAGGGTTTCGCGTTAAGGGCCACAGACGGCCGCATGACTTTCAGCAGAACCCAGCTAAGAAAGACTGGGCCGAGTACACAATGAGGCTATGCGACTCAAACTCGCTAGCTTAAAAGGTACCCCATGCCACGCCATGCGATATGTCCTGGGACTAAAAAGACAGTGCATACGGGGAAAAAAACACGGGTAGAACTCCCCCCCTCCCCAATTTTCCCCCCACACCGACGAGATAAAACCATAGACAGAAAGTAAGACTGTACCTGTCTTTCAACTTTGACGATCCGAGAAGCCAGGCAGACCTTGGACTCGTGTCCTAGGAAGTAAAGGCGGCCGGCATGATGGTGACCACATCCCCCACCAAGTGCCGGTTAGTCTAAACAAAATAGGCTTAGTCCTATATATCTAATACGCCTGAAGGTATGGGAAAGGATACTTTTCTTTAAAAAAAATGCAAATGAGGATGGTGATTATGATGATAGTGCAAATAAAGATAGCATTTCTGATGATAATGAAAGTGCTAAAAAGTAGCTCAAAAGTAGCTAAAAAGCCAAAAGTAGCACAGAAGTTGCCTGTAAATTCTGAATCCTCTCCAGCAAACGACATGACCAGCACAGTACTGAAGTATGGCAATGATGTTAGAAATGAAATTTAATGATGAAGAAGATCATGGGATGAAGTAAAAGTAATGGCCCTTTTCCACGCCTTAAGACCTATTGGGTTTATAGGGCTAGACCTAAATTGTATAGACCAATCCACACTTGATGATTGTGTCATCAACAGCACGCCGACTGCCTTTACTTTCAGGAATTTTACCTGTTACTCATTTAAGGCTGAGTCGACCTGGGCCTTAAAATCATTTTTGAAAATAGTCCAGCTCTATGAGGACCTGAACCCAACACCTTCCGATCCGTCGGCTAGCATCTAGCTACACCACGGCGGAACCTATATCTTCTTCCTCTTCTTCTCTTACACCATTTACCTCAGAGGTTCGTTTGTGCGCTTTTTTACAACGCATTGTACAAGTTGGTGTTCATCTCTGTTGGGCTGCTCTTGATGGTGTCGCTTGATCAAAGTTCTAAAAAGCAGGAGAGATGCCATATTTCTCCGTCTTACTCCTGAATTTACTTCAAAAGGTGTCTATGTACCTGCTCTTGTTTGCATGCAACTTTTACTTGATGCATATAAGCTCTTACACACTTCAGTTAGATGTTTGCTGATTCCATATCTTCTTAAGCAATTCCACAACATATTCCTATCTACTCTGTCGATTGCTTTTTTTCTGGTCTATAAATGCAACTTTGCATGTCTTATACTTTATTGGCCTTTATGTCAACTGTCTTACTACAAATATTGCGTCTGTGCAGCTTCTGTTACGCCTGAAACCCATCTAGGTTTCTGAAAGTTGTTCTTCTACTAATGGTGTTGAGTAAAGTGAAGATCCCTTTTCACGCCTTTAGGCGTATCGGGTATATGGAAAGAGCGCCCATATTTTTTCAGAACATCGGCACTAGGTGGGTAATGCATTACGCCGGCCGTTTTTACTTCACCAGGACAGCCATCCTGGTACCCACTCAAGGCTGGGTCAACATGGTAGTCAAGGGCAACGCCCCATACCATGATAAAAATCAACGCAGCCAGCAGTGGGTTTCCATCGCGGTACGTTGGAGTTACGAGCCGGACTCGAAACGCCTAAGCCACGGACGCCGCAATATCCATAATATTCTTTCAATTAATTTGATAGACAGTTTCCCTGTGTGGCTCTTTAATGAATAAGAAAAGAAATAATTTATAAAGAAGATGATTTCGCTAAAATGTCAAATGTTGCACAGACCTTCCCTGTAAATTCTTAATCCGCCCCAGCATATCAATGTGACCCGCCGAATACTGCTCTATGACATCTTTGACATCGTAAGGTCTGAGAGCTTCTCGGAACTTTCTTCTGGCAACAAAATAGCGGATCTTTCTGACGACTCGGATAATCCTCTTGTGCTGTTCCGTTAGTTGTGTCAGCCTTGGCGATAGATCTTCTTCTGTTGAAGCAGACATTGCAATTTTAGAAATGAAGCATTATATATATATATATTTTTTGGGGAACCCAAAACAGCATAGCTCAATTGGCTCAGTGTCGTGAGCATCAAAGCCCTTCAGCTTCAGTGCCACACGCACCGCTAATCTGGGCAGTTTCTGAGTGTGTGTGTGTGTGTGTGTGTGTGTGTGTGTGTGTTTTATATATATATATAAACAGCTGCCTTTGTGGATGTTAGATGGCAAGGTCTCGTTTTCTTAGATGGTGCCACTCTTGTGTGTGTTGTCCATCAAGATGATGATGACCACTCTTTTTCACCAAGTATGAGTACGAAGATGACTGATGAGGCTGATGCGGGCCCGAAAAGTTGTTGGACAATGAGGACAGGAAAATGAGTGTTTTGCCAGGGATGGGATCTCCTGCAGTCACCTTTCTGTCCACCCTTTTCTTAATCAGTCTTGCTGTTCTGTTTGCTTCACATGTAGCCGTGCCCTTGTGTAGAGCTGCACGCCATGCATTTCGGTCTTGAGAGGCAGCCTCCCAATTGGTGGCATTTATCCCAAAATGCTTTGAGTGAAGACTTCAAGGTGTCCTAAAAGTGTTTCTATTTCTACATTGGGAACGTTTCTCATTTTGCAGCTCCCCATATAAGAGTTTTTTTGGGAGCTTGTGATCTGGCATACGTGCCACATGACTAGCCCAACGAATTTGTTTCTGCATCAGTAGAGTGTGGATGCTGGGCATGGCTGCTTTCTCAAGGACTATCAGGTACTTTGTCTTGCCATCTGATCTGCATTAGTTTTCTAAGGCAGACTGTGTGAAAGTGGTTTAACTTTCTAGCCTGGCGCTGGTATACAGTCCATGTTTCACATGCGTACAGCAGTGTGGTCAATACAACGGCTCTGTATACTTTAAGCTTTGTCTGCAGGGTTATGCCCCTTCTGTTCCAAACATTCGTGTACAATCTGCCAAAGGCAACGCTAGCCCTAGAGATCCTTGCATTTACTTCGTCATCAATTGTGTCGCTCTATGAAAGGGTTCTGACTAGATAAGTAAATTTCCTGACAACGTTTAATCTGTGGCCATTCAGTGTGATATTGGGCCACTCTTGTACCACTGTCACAACGTCATTGGGTGTTGTCAATATATCTGTCCATCTGTTCGTACTAACTTTCCATCAGGACAGATGAGAGACTGATATAGAAACCTCCAACATTGCAACAAGATACTACAAGACGGAACAATAAAGGATGGACAACAAGACAGGACACTAGAAAACAGGATACTACAAGACAAGATGATGCAAGACATGGCACCACAAGACAAGACACCACAAGAAAGGACAACAGAAAAAGGATAAAAAAGACAGGACACTACACGAAAAGACATTGCAAGACAAGACACCACAAGACATGACACAACAAGACAGGACATGACAGAAACAACACCTTCTGACTCTTTCCCGATGGAAGTCACCGAGTTCTCCTTCCTGAAGGGCACAGTGTCCAGCTGGTACCTGTGATCCGTCCCTGTGGCTAGGCTCAGGTGGCTCCTGTACACAATCCACAGGAATCCAGAGAATAGTCGTAGTAAGAGATTGTTCTCGCTACACGCTGATACATCACACACAGATACACCACACACTGATACACCACACATAGATATACCACACACAGATACACCATACGCTGATACACCACACACTGAATCACCACACACTGATACACTACACGCTAATACACCACACACTGATATACTACACGCTGATACACTACACGCTGATACACTACACACTGATACACCAAACACTGATACACCACACACTGATGCATCATACACTGGTACACTACACACTGATACACCACACACTGATACACTACACGCTAATACACCACACACTGATACACTACACGCTGATACACTACACGCTGATACACCAAACACTGATACACCACACACTAATGCACCATACACTGATACACTACACGCTGATACACCACACACTGATACACTACACGCTGATACACCACACGCTGATACACCACACACTGATACACTACATGCTGATACACCACACACTGATACACTACACGCTGATACACCACACACTGATACACTACACGCTGATACACTACACGCTGATACACTACACGCTGATACACCAAACACTGATACACCACACACTGATACACTACACGCTAATACACCACACACTGATACACTACATGCTGATACACCACACACTGATACACTACACGCTGATACACTACACGCTGATACACCACACGCTGATACACCACACACTGATACACTACACGCTGATACACTACACGCTGATACACTACACGCTGATACACTACACGCTGATACACCAAACACTGATACACCACACACTGATGCACCATACACTGATATACTACACGCTGATAGACCACACACTCATACACTGCACGCTGATACACCACACACTGATACACCACACACTGATACACCACACACTGATACACCACACACTGATACACCACACACTGATACACCACACACAGATACACCACACACTGATACACCACACACAGATACACCACACACTGATACACTTCACACTGATACACCACACACTGATACACCACACACTGATACACTACACACTGATACACTATACACTGATACACTACACACTGATACACTACACACTGATACACCACACACTGATACATCACACACTGATACACTACACACTGATACACTACACACTGATACACCACACACTGATACAACACACTCTGATACATTACACACTGATACACTACACACTGATACCACCATCACACTGAAAAAAAAAAAAAAAAAAAAAAAAAAAAAAAAAAAAAAAAAAAAAAAAAAAAAAAAAAAAAAACAAAAAAAAAAAAAAAAAAAAAAAAAAAAAAAAAAAAAAAAAAAAAAAAAAAAAAAAAAAAAAAAAAAAAAAAAAAAAAAAAAAAAAAAAAAAAAAAAAAAAAAAAAAAAAAAAAAAAAAAAAAAAAAAAAAAAAAAAAAAAAAAAAAAAAAAAAAAAAAAAAAAAAAAAAAAAAAAAAAAAAAAAAAAAAAAAAAAAAAAAAAAAAAAAAAAAAAAAAAAAAAAAAAAAAAAAAAAAAAAAAAAAAAAAAAAAAAAAAAAAAAAAAAAAAAAAAAAAAAAAAAAAAAAAAAAAAAAAAAAAAAAAAAAAAAAAAAAAAAAAAAAAAAAAAAAAAAAAAAAAAAAAAAAAAAAAAAAAAAAAAAAAAAAAAAAAAAAAAAAAAAAAAAAAAAAAAAAAAAAAAAAAAAAAAAAAAAAAAAAAAAAAAAAAAAAAAAAAAAAAAAAAAAAAAAAAAAAAAAAAAAAAAAAAAAAAAAAAAAAAAAAAAAAAAAAAAAAAAAAAAAAAAAAAAAAAAAAAAAAAAAAAAAAAAAAAAAAAAAAAAAAAAAAAAAAAAAAAAAAAAAAAAAAAAAAAAAAAAAAAAAAAAAAAAAAAAAAAAAAAAAAAAAAAAAAAAAAAAAAAAAAAAAAAAAAAAAAAAAAAAAAAAAAAAAAAAAAAAAAAAAAAAAAAAAAAAAAAAAAAAAAAAAAAAAAAAAAAAAAAAAAAAAAAAAAAAAAAAAAAAAAAAAAAAAAAAAAAAAAAAAAAAAAAAAAAAAAAAAAAAAAAAAAAAAAAAAAAAAAAAAAAAAAAAAAAAAAAAAAAAAAAAAAAAAAAAAAAAAAAAAAAAAAAAAAAAAAAAAAAAAAAAAAAAAAAAAAAAAAAAAAAAAAAAAAAAAAAAAAAAAAAAAAAAAAAAAAAAAAAAAAAAAAAAAAAAAAAAAAAAAAAAAAAAAAAAAAAAAAAAAAAAAAAAAAAAAAAAAAAAAAAAAAAAAAAAAAAAAAAAAAAAAAAAAAAAAAAAAAAAAAAAAAAAAAAAAAAAAAAAAAAAAAAAAAAAAAAAAAAAAAAAAAAAAAAAAAAAAAAAAAAAAAAAAAAAAAAAAAAAAAAAAAAAAAAAAAAAAAAAAAAAAAAAAAAAAAAAAAAAAAAAAAAAAAAAAAAAAAAAAAAAAAAAAAAAAAAAAAAAAAAAAAAAAAAAAAAAAAAAAAAAAAAAAAAAAAAAAAAAAAAAAAAAAAAAAAAAAAAAAAAAAAAAAAAAAAAAAAAAAAAAAAAAAAAAAAAAAAAAAAAAAAAAAAAAAAAAAAAAAAAAAAAAAAAAAAAAAAAAAAAAAAAAAAAAAAAAAAAAAAAAAAAAAAAAAAAAAAAAAAAAAAAAAAAAAAAAAAAAAAAAAAAAAAAAAAAAAAAAAAAAAAAAAAAAAAAAAAAAAAAAAAAAAAAAAAAAAAAAAAAAAAAAAAAAAAAAAAAAAAAAAAAAAAAAAAAAAAAAAAAAAAAAAAAAAAAAAAAAAAAAAAAAAAAAAAAAAAAAAAAAAAAAAAAAAAAAAAAAAAAAAAAAAAAAAAAAAAAAAAAAAAAAAAAAAAAAAAAAAAAAAAAAAAAAAAAAAAAAAAAAAAAAAAAAAAAAAAAAAAAAAAAAAAAAAAAAAAAAAAAAAAAAAAAAAAAAAAAAAAAAAAAAAAAAAAAAAAAAAAAAAAAAAAAAAAAAAAAAAAAAAAAAAAAAAAAAAAAAAAAAAAAAAACAAAAAAAAAAAAAAAAAAAAAAAAAAAAAAAAAAAAAAAAAAAAAAAAAAAAAAAAAAAAAAAAAAAAAAAAAAAAAAAAAAAAAAAAAAAAAAAAAAAAAAAAAAAAAAAAAAAAAAAAAAAAAAAAAAAAAAAAAAAAAAAAAAAAAAAAAAAAAAAAAAAAAAAAAAAAAAAAAAAAAAAAAAAAAAAAAAAAAAAAAAAAAAAAAAAAAAAAAAAAAAAAAAAAAAAAAAAAAAAAAAAAAAAAAAAAAAAAAAAAAAAAAAAAAAAAAAAAAAAAAAAAAAAAAAAAAAAAAAAAAAAAAAAAAAAAAAAAAAAAAAAAAAAAAAAAAAAAAAAAAAAAAAAAAAAAAAAAAAAAAAAAAAAAAAAAAAAAAAAAAAAAAAAAAAAAAAAAAAAAAAAAAAAAAAAAAAAAAAAAAAAAAAAAAAAAAAAAAAAAAAAAAAAAAAAAAAAAAAAAAAAAAAAAAAAAAAAAAAAAAAAAAAAAAAAAAAAAAAAAAAAAAAAAAAAAAAAAAAAAAAAAAAAAAAAAAAAAAAAAAAAAAAAAAAAAAAAAAAAAAAAAAAAAAAAAAAAAAAAAAAAAAAAAAAAAAAAAAAAAAAAAAAAAAAAAAAAAAAAAAAAAAAAAAAAAAAAAAAAAAAAAAAAAAAAAAAAAAAAAAAAAAAAAAAAAAAAAAAAAAAAAAAAAAAAAAAAAAAAAAAAAAAAAAAAAAAAAAAAAAAAAAAAAAAAAAAAAAAAAAAAAAAAAAAAAAAAAAAAAAAAAAAAAAAAAAAAAAAAAAAAAAAAAAAAAAAAAAAAAAAAAAAAAAAAAAAAAAAAAAAAAAAAAAAAAAAAAAAAAAAAAAAAAAAAAAAAAAAAAAAAAAAAAAAAAAAAAAAAAAAAAAAAAAAAAAAAAAAAAAAAAAAAAAAAAAAAAAAAAAAAAAAAAAAAAAAAAAAAAAAAAAAAAAAAAAAAAAAAAAAAAAAAAAAAAAAAAAAAAAAAAAAAAAAAAAAAAAAAAAAAAAAAAAAAAAAAAAAAAAAAAAAAAAAAA